CTGTGTCGATGTGATTGATTACGACGGAAAGGATTTTCATCTCCTCCTCCTGAACGAGATTTCTTTCTTGAACGAATGAACTCGCGCGTAAAACACAGATTGACATGCTGGTGATGGAAAGATCTATGTAGTATACAGAACCTCACTCTTCATATATCTTCTCATCATCATCATTATCAACAACAACTCCACCTAACACAACCAATACACACATCATCATCATCATCATCATCATCATCATCATCATCATCATCATCATCCTCGCTATCCTCTCCCTCCTTTCTCCTCTATCATCGTCAAGTCCATCAGCTGCATCGGCGGCGGCGGCGTCAAGGTCATTGAAGTTCTTCATCCACAACGTTCTGGTCGTCTGACGTCGTTAGAGGCTCTAGAGCGTCTCAATCGTGCGCTTCATCCCCACTTCTCACCTCGCAGGTTGACTTCTCACGCTCAAGGGACATCTCCAGGTCGAGGCATGCTTTCTTCAGCTGGGCATTCTCCAGCTCAAGTTCGCGCATGCTCTCGTCGTGCACCTGCAGTCTTGCTTCAAGCTGCACCAGCTTCTCTCCAGCATCGTTGAGTCTGTCGAAGATGCTGTCGTGCATGCTCTCCCAGCTCTCGATCTTCTCAGCTGTGATAGACGACAAGATGTCTTGCGGGTCATCGCGGTACCCCAGCCTGTGCGCCTCCTGTTTGTGCCGCTGGTTCTCAGGTCGCCTGCTCCAGGAGAAGCTGTGAAGGAGCATCTTAGCAGAATCAGCGTCGGAGCAAGTCTTGAAGCCGTCTTGAGCATCGTTCAAAATGTCTCTCAGTGTCGTCAGCTGATGCGTCAGCTTCCTGCACAGCTTCTTGGTCCTCTCGTACTTGTTCGAGAGTTTGGTGACCGTTTCTTCTCTGCTCATCAACTCCAACATCAGCTCTTCCTCTCGCTCTCCCTGCGCCTTCACATCCTCCTCCTCATGTCCACCGCTTTCCTCGTCGTCTACCATCACTTCCTCCCGCGTAGTGCTGCTGTGCCCGCTGACCCGCCGGATCTTCTCCTGTTCTCGCTCGCGGCAGTCTTGGACGATCTTTTCGAGGTGTGCGAGGATGGAGGAGAAGACGTCGGAGTTGAAGAGGAGGATCACATTCAGCGCTTCGCCCTGCTCCGAGCACTCCAGGGACATCTCCCTGCTCATTCGCCGCAGCGAGTCGGTCACCAGCTCTCTGCTTGACTGCACGTAATCCACAAGGCTCTGTACCCCCTGACCAACATCATCTCTTCCCATGCTCGCGCGCTTGGAGTTACGGTACTTTCCCAGCACGATCTTGCACTGGCCCTGGAACCAGCTCTTGATCTCCCTCGCCTCCTTGCGCATGCTTCGAGTCTTGAGCGGAAGGTGCTCGACCATGAAGTGCTGCTCGAACTTCCTCGGCGACGTCTGACGACTCAGAGAGGCGTTGGAGAGCTGCAGCTTGTTGTACAGGACCTTCCTGACGTAACTTGGTTTCTTGCGGTCGAGGTACTGGTAGAAGCTGCTGCTGGTGCTACTGCTTTGTTCCTCCTTATCGCTCTCCTCAGTCCTCCTGCTCGGCTTGTTCTCGCTCATCGGCCTTCGAGCTGTGAGAGGAACGTCGTGTAAGAGCAGGTCAAGCAAGAGCAAGGAGCACCTGGTTCCTGTACAGTGACTGTTGACCTGACAAGCCCCTCCTCTTCCGCCTCCCTCTCGACCTCTCGCTGGCTCTTGAGCAGCGACTTGCTCGAACCCACTCCCTCTACCCGCAACCTGGACGAGCTCAGTCCCAGCTTGTCTACCAGTAGGCATCTTGGAATTTCAAGCACTATCGCATGTTTGCTCGAGCTACTGCTGTTCGTGCTTGTGCTGGAGCTTGTGCTGGGACTTGATCTGGTGCTGCTGGTGCTGGTGCTGGTGCTGGTGCTGGTGCTGATGCTGGTGCTGTCACGTCTCTTCTCGAGTGGCTTGGCTGATAGAGATTCCTCCAGTTTCTTGGATCCTTTACCAACGACGAGCAAACCTTGGTTGGTCATGATGCCTGATCCTCCTTCTCTCCTCCTGCTCAAGTCAAGTTAGTTTGCCCTGCAAGAGACCTTTGCTGCTTCTCTCCAACAGCCCTAGTTCCTTTTGACATGTCGCTTCACTGACTTGTTCTTTCCTATCATCCTGACAGTCTCGCCTATTCTTGTTGGTCAAGGCCATGCTATTTCTAGAGACAAGTTGAAGAAATCTTCAAGTTTAAGATGGCTCAACTATAGCTCTTAGGGCGGCTCGGAGGGAGGAGGGAGGAGGAAGGATGAAGAGGAAGGAAGGAAGGAGAAGGGGAGAGGAGGAGGAGGAGGACGACGAGGAGGAGGAGGGAGGAACGATGAAGGAGGAAGGAAGAAGTCGTGGAGAAGAGAGGAGGAAGGACGAAGAAGGAGGAAGGACGAGCAAGGAGGAAGGACGAGCAAGGAGGAAGGACGAGCAAGGAGGAACGAGGAGGAACGAGGAGGAACGAGGAGGAACGAGGAGGAACGAGGAACGAGGGACGACTCAGGGAGGTAGGCGCCAGGAGGACAGAGGAAGGCACTGCGGCAAGGAGAAACTGCCAGGGACGCATTGTTGTTTGTCGGGCAAAGAACCCTGAGGCTCCCTGAGTACCCCCCTTTTCCCCTACAGAAGTACCCCCTCTTCTCCAAGAGGCCGTCCTCTCGTACTCTAGACAGCCCGACCCTGGCCGAAGGAGTCAAGTTGAGTTACCGTTACTACCGTTACTCGTTCGTATCCAAACCGCTACATACAGCTGACTCAGTGACACTGTCCTGAGACTGAGCCTCTGAGGCAGGGCTGCCGGCGGCCCCGCCGCACCGTGCACTGCCGCGGCCCCCGCGACATAGTAGGACCTCACGGGGTCCGCCGGGCTGCGCCGGGCGCTCACTGGCTCAGCGGCTGCCGGCCGCCGCCGAGCGGCTGAGCGGCGGCCCGGGCCGCGGCGGGGGACCGAGACTCCGGCCCGGGTCAGGACGGTGCCGGGGGCGTCCGGTCCGACGGTCGTCGGGGGACGGTTCCGGGCCGGGCCGGGCGAGCCCCGGGGGGGGGGCGCCGCGTGAGGCCGGGCCGCTCTCAGGCAGCGTTCAACGGTTGCAACATGGCGTTGCAACAGGCGTTGCAAGAGTTCAGGAAGGGAATGTGGGTGATGAGTTTCTTGGTGACAAGGAGGGAGCCACACAAGGCGGTAGGAAGGAGGAGAGTAGGGAGAGGAGAGAAGAGAGAAGAGAGAAGGAGAAGAGGGACAAGCCTACAGTCTGAGTGCAGGAGAGTTCAAGGGAGTGTCAGGAAGACAGGTTCCGAAGCAAGACAGCAGTTCCTGTGCTCAACACTTGAGAACATGTCCAAGACTGCGGATCAGAAGAAGAGTCTGGACTTCTACAAGGTCCTTGGGCCTCATGAGAGGTATCCGGCTCCACTTACAGCATGAACAGATCCTCGGAGTGCCCAAAGGAGCAGGAGATGGTCAGATCAAGAGTGCTTATCGGAAGCTTGCGATCCAGGTGGGTCAGCCCTCCTGGAGGATCCACTGACATCAGACGTTGCAGTACCACCCGGACAAGACGGCGGGCGATGCTGAGGTAGCTCTGACTGCTCCCTGCTTCCTGCTTGACTGACGCTTCTTAAGCTCGAAGAAAGATTCAAAGAGATCTCCGCTGCATACGCGGTAAGGCCGCCTCTAGGTGCAGCTCCTCCTCCTCACCCGTCTGCTGTCCTCAGGTTCTGTCGGATCCCCAGAAGAGGAGGCAGTACGACATGCTGGGAGACGCGGCTGTAGACATCGAGGTCTTCGTGCGGGGTGTGGAGGAGGAGTCAGTTTCTGACCTGCCGTGGGGTCAGGCGGTGGACATGGAGCAGATGACGTTCGGCACAACTCTCGTTGCTGCTTTGTTCAGTAAGCTGGGAGCTCCGATCCCGACTGCGATCCCTCAGCGGACTCTAGACCTCGCTGCAAGCTTTGAAGCACGACAGCAGGTTTGGTTGTCGATGTTGACGACGATGATAGCGATGGCGATGGCGATGGTGATGGCGATGGCGATGGAGAGAAATGATTTTGAAGATGATGGAGATGAAGGGAAAGATGATGATGATGATGATGGACATGTCAGGGGATGTCAGCATTGATTGTGCTTGCAATATCTTGAGGATGTTTGGAACACACAGAGTAGTTTGTTTGTTGTTACTTTACCGTGATCTCTCCCTCGTTCCCTTCCCGACACGCTTTCATGTAGCTCACTGCCGTTGGGCAGGGGGAGAAAATCACGTGGAACAGCACGACGGAGGGGAAGATTTCAACCCACGGAGTGAAGTTCTACTTTGGAGAAGTGACAGAGGAAGAGGCAAAGAGAGGTGAGGATGGTGATGGAGATAATGGAGATGGAAATGATGATGGAGATGA